CCTGTATTGTGTTAATTTGATGGGCAGTTTCTTCGGAAACATCTTCATAGTCATCATCGTCTACAAGCATCGAGATTTACGAAAAACAATTAACTATTTCATCGTCAATATGGCTGTGTCAGATCTGATCTTCCCTCTGATTGTAATCCCTGTCTATATCATTGGATTGGCCACCGAGTCATGGCATTGGCGAGTCAGTGGAATATTAGGATCCATTTTTTGCAAGTTGTTTCATTTCTCGAGCGGTGTGACCCTCCATGTTTCTGCTCAAAGTTTGGTGTGGATAGCAATTGATAGATTTGTCGCTGTCGTTTTCCCAATAAAACTTGGTCTTATTTCACCGAAGATTCGCACAACAGCCATCGTTTCTACTTGGATTTTTGCAGGCTTGTTTAATTCACCATCGCTGATAATGGCAGATGTCGTTGTACACGACAATAAAAACGCGTTTTGCACTAACACACTGACAGGCGACAACCCGGATGTTTCGGCGGCAATTTCGTTTGCACCATTTGCTTTGCTTTTTATTGCTCCGTTAGTTGTAATAACCGTTTTGTACACTGCAATAGCAATCGCTTTAAGAAGGCAGAATAGAGCTCTCACTGACAACGCACAAAATCTACAAAGGCATTCTGAAAAGAAACGAAGACAAGCTATTCGAATGGCTGTTATCATCGTGGCGCTGTTTTATATTTGCGTTATTCCATCGACATTGTTATATTTCGCACCTTACTGGAATTTATCTTGTGCCTCTCAAAGACTGTTTTTTAGTCTAGCAAGTCTTGCGTTTTCTTTGTCTTCCATGGTCAATCCAATAATTTGTCTATCGTTTGTGGAAAGTTATCGCCATGGATTACGAAACATCTTATGTCCTTGCACGAACATGCCGGACAACATGACTGCGAAACGCGAACACGTTACTCCACAAGAGATGGAAAATCTTTCCGCAGAAAACATTCGAAGAGTCTTGAAGGACACAGAAACCTACAAAGACACATTGAATACAGCTATGTAGAGATATAGTCCTGAGAAGACCCTAAAAGATACCGCCGCGATGGATAAAAATGCTGACATGTCTTGTTGAAGTAATATATCAAACACGAAATAACGTGTTTGACCGCATTTCCAAACACCTGTTACAGAACATCTTGCATGAATTTGTTACTTTAATTTGAAAGTGTGAAATATCGCTAAATGACGTGTTTGCTGTGATTTTGGTCCTGCGCGAGGGTTCTCTACAAGGTTTTTTGTACGGGGAGTTTACGCCACCTTGCTCTTTGATACTCCATTTTTTTTTTAGGGAAAAGTTGTCCCTTTCGTACATCTTTGATTGAAAAAAGGTGCCCCTTTCACATGCTTTCATAACCGGCTCATATTGTGAATAATCGCGAAAAAAGGAAATCCGTCTCTTCGAATTATTTTAATTTAAGGCGTTTTTAAATAACTAAATGGCAGATTTTCCTACCCTATACCTCAACTTGTGAAATCCCTACCCTTTTATAAACCTGAAGCCTGAAAAAGGTAGCCCTTTTTGGGCGGATCCTCCCAGCATAGGCCATCATAGGGAGTAACCCCGGGATTGGGTTTCGAGTATCTGGATTTAGTGATAGTGGGTGTTACCATGGTTACCAAATGTGCCAGAAAATGAGTTGAGAAAGGACGTCGCCGGCATGATCGAATAATGACTGGAGACTAGAATGATATTAGATGCATGAGAAATATATAATATCTTAGTCTAAGGTGTTTTGTGATCTCCCGAGTAAGGTTCTCTCCTTGTTCTTACTGGCTTAAACCTTTTTATAAGGTTATGTGATTTCTTGATGCTATATAAGTTTTAAGTTTGCCTCTAAGGGGAGACTTGATGCCTTCCGAGAATTACTGTGTAATAACAGTGGTTTAACTTACAGTATTTTGCTGACGGATATGTGGAAACTATGATGACTCGACGCTTATTGAGAGGTGGCCGCTTGATAGCTAGAGGTTCGACTGTAGTTAAAAAAAAAAAAGGTTTGCAGTGGAATGCCGGTACAGCAATGGTTGAGGTTCTTTACATAATTTACCCAACAAAAATCATCTTACTTTTCGTTTGAAAGGGCGTACTTTTTAATGCGTTTTCGCCTACCGTTCACGCAACAACGATTGAAAATGTTCATCGTTTTCATTTGAAACTGATAGTTTACATTTGAAAATAGTACCCCTAGTGGAGACGAGAAAACGAATCCCTATCGTATCAGTGTGGACAGAGAAAACGGAGGCTTTCGAAAACGTTGAGTTATTCACATCATTGCGCATGTGAAAATTACAGTGGTGTTTTCTCGTAGCATATCAGCTTTTTTTGCGTTTTAGTGAGACGAAGAAAACGTGCGATCATGGTAGTATGATCGGAG